GGCCTCGTTTCATTAAGGAATCGCTGATATTTAATATCGTTCGCAAACGTAGAGTTTTCTGTTCAAAGCTTTGATCCTTACGAGTTTAATTTCGTTCGGGTACTTCTCGTACACCCCAATAAATTTAATTGGATATGTCAACTGCTGGGCGTAAAAACACGAGGAAGTAAAGTGGAAAGAAATGCTGTGAATAAAGTGACCGGGTTTATTTTTACCTCCTTCAATAGCTAGAACACTATTCAAAACTCCCTCCACACGAACTATTCGTCGTGTGGTTTTAAAAAACACTAGGCACGTGCCTATGGGCGGCAGCTTTAGAGGGCGGCATTTTTTGCACTATATTTTTTTAGGTGAAATAAATTGGAATTGGTAGATAGTTTAAACAAACTTAACTGTAAGAACGAGAATCTACAATGCAATTTTTGACGTGCATACTATTTCTATTCATATCAGTTTTAAAAATTTCAAGTTATAATGTGAATCTTATCAGCATTAGCAAATTAATTGCAATTTAATGATTATTTTAGGAAGGACACATACCTTTCGGTGTGTCTAAGAGCGCAAAAAATTTAAATCCGCCACTGCAAATATCATCTTGTCATCTCTGTTGGGCAAAATATACATTATTATATTATATTATCTTCTACACATTCTAGAAATCTTCCTGCACGTTAGTCCAAGAATGTTTATTTGGTCAGGGCATAAATGAATATAGAGATTATTATTGAGAAGGTGACGCCGTTAACTGTTGTCTCTGGAAAAGTGAACACCTCCTGAGATTATGGTGTTAGAGAAAGTTTATAGAGAGAGTTTATTTTTCCAAAGCACAAAAAACAGAAAGAGAGAAAGAAAAGGGTTACCCTCAGAAATTATGTGGAATGTAGTGATGATGGTGGATAGGATCAAATATTAGAAGATACTTTATGCAATAGCAAAAAAAAAACGCTAAACGGGAGATCTCACACAGTTCATTTATGAGCGTTTGCAGAGCTTTCATAGAAAAATTCCCCAGACTTTAGTTTCAATTACTTAGTGGTAAACAGGGTGGTAAATGATACATCTCTTCGCAAGGAAATTTGCTATGTTTCTATAGTAATACATTTTTTAAATGTATTGCAATATCAAATGAAATATCTTGTTAAATACAGCAAAAATGTGTCATTTTTCATACGTAGAATTTTCCATTATGGAAATAAATGCTCGAAAAACTGTAACTATAGAAACAGAATTATCCTTCGCATTTCCAACAAAAAAAAATTAAAAAGATGTGTATGTGAATGTAATCCCGCCGCAATATCTCAATCCCGATATTTGCGGGATTGTTAGATGTTAATCCCGCGGGATACCGGTATTTGCGGGATCCCGAAAAACTTTAAATAAATTGGCAAATAAGCAATTTTGTGCGGTTAACTTCTGTATTACAATAAATCGCTAATTATCACAATATTTAACAAGAAAGTACCTATGGCCTAACTTAGACGGTTTTTTCCAGGAAACATCAAAATTTGAGTGAATTAAAAAAAAATTATCCTGACTTAAAACCAAGATCGAGTGTATTTTATGGAAATTAATAAAAGACAGTAAATTTTACAACCACTATATATTTTACGCATTCATACGCGCATTTTTATCGCTGATAAAAAGCTTCATACCGTTTAATCGCTGATAGAAAGCTACCTAGCTTTTAATCAGATACGAAATCATCTGATTGGTTAGAATTTCTAACGATTTTGTTTTGTTTGGGGTAAATGTTTCATAATTGGAATTGGTGTTAATAATTTTTAACGTCCTACTAATTTATTTATTTAAGTATATTAGTGCTAATAACAATAGTTTTATACAAATCAATTGAGTCAACAGTAATAAACATATGTAACATGGCATTATAAATAGATGCTAACATGCTAAAAGATACTTCAAACTCACAACATTAAATATATAAAACACAAATACATAAAATATCACAATTCAAATGATAGCTGACTTTCACATTTAGAAAATCACCAAAGTTGTAAAAGGCCTATTCGATGAGGTACGTTTTTGAAATCTATGCTCAGGATTTGTTTTATAGAAACTGGTAGTTTGTTATAAAACTTAATCCCATAACAATTCCAACCATTAAGCTGATTATATCAATCCCTAATAATTCAGAATCCCGAGAATTACGTTAATGGAAATTGATATTGTAATGGTTCCAGCGCCAAATGGGGTAAACGGTATTATTTATTTATCTTCACTTAATTCATGGAAACTACAGTGCTTTTGATATTGAGAAATTTTGTCAAAGATAAGTGTTATGCAAAAGCATATATAGAAGGAAAAGGGAGTAATTTCAATCTCTGTACCTATTCCATATGACACACTAATTGAATTGATCTAATTAATCTAATTAGACTGATGTATACAGGTTGTATCAAATTACGTGTAAGTAGAGACTTCGCTTATTAGCTTAGATAGAAAGTTGGTTAAATAGTCAAAAGTGATCCTGGAGTTTCAAAGTTTCAAAGTTTTATTTATTTCCAATAGATTACATAAATGTAATATAGGACATGTCAAAATTTACATTGTTACACATAAAACATACAAGACGTTACAACGAATTAAAATATTCTTTAAGGGAATAAAATTCCTTCTCCAGTAGGTAATGCGCGTTTAAAGCTTTTTAGCGCATTTCCACAAAAATAAAAAAAAATGCGCTATTGTGGCCACTTTGTCCGTCCGTCCGTCCGTCCGTCCGTCCGTCCGCACGTTTTGCGACGCTACTAGTTCTTTATCTTAAGAGCTATTGTTCTACTTTTTTCGCTATTTGGTTCGTTATGGTGTCGAGTCTTGTACCAAGGAAGGAATTTTTTCTGTACCGCTTACAAAAAAAGTTATTGTAAAAAAAACAAAAAACCGTTTTTTACATGTTCCATAATTTTACACTTTTGCCGTTTATTAACGATCCTAGAGATCGTTTATAATTTTGCATTGCTGTCTGTCGTCTGCCTGTTGGTCTGTCCGTCTGTTCCTTTGTCTGTCTGTCCATCTATCTGTCCGTGTGAACGATAACTTTGTTTAGAAATGTCCGATCGCTTTTACATCTCCGTTAGTTATGAACTGAATTGCATGAAATTCAATATGGGCATAGCTTTAGCCATATAATACGCAATGCCAAAAGTTGATTCGAATCGATTCAAAATTCACAGTGCCCTTTTCGCATCTCGACCATTTATAAACCGAATTGCAAACTTTTTTAATTATAAAAGTATTTAAATGAAATTTGATACATAGTCACTTGGAATAAAAGCAAATTTAACGCCAATTTCAAAATTTCTTATTTATGGAGGGATTTAGATGAAATTTGATACATAGCCACTTGGAACAAAGGAAAATCTAACGTTAGCTTCAAAATTTAGGTTTGCGCATGCGCAGTTCCAACTTTTTTATTTAGAAAAAGATTGAAATGAAACTCTTCTTATAAACTGAAATTGAAGTAGCACGTCAAAAATGGATTGCACATGTGCAAGCTATCTTTCATATTTGTGGCCGGATTTTTACAATTTTAACAAAAGTTGCATCTTACAAATAGGAAATGAATGCAAGTGGAAATGCGCTTTATGTAAATCGTTTACGATTACTTTTTAACTTGTTAATGTTGTTAGAGATTTAAATGCTGTTGGTAATTTATTGAACAGTTTTTTACCAAGTATATATGGCGATTTGGCTTTTATGTTATCTCTGGAGAAGGATATGCCCAGGTCATTACAGTTCCTGGTTGCCCTGTTATGTATTTCGATATTTTTTTTGTAGGATTGCAAATTACTAAATACGTAAACACACATTTCTAAAATAAACAAACAAGGAAGAGTAAGGAGTTCTGCACCCTATCTAAAGTTTCCAAAATATGGCCAAAAATAATATAATTGACGTTTTTTGATTTTTTTTGGCTTTATAAATTAAGTGCAGATTTTTTATTAAAGGAAATGCGATTGTTCATGCGATATTGCTTTTGTCAAATGTCACTCAAAATGTTATGCTTTTAATTTTGAACCTGGATTTTTTTATAAACGTGTTATACATTTTTAAAATCAGAATTTTTAAATGACCTCATTCCCATTCATTCGCCATAGGAAACGTTAGCGAGGGTGTAATTTTTGTTTTTTGATTTTATTTAGGCATAATTTGAGGATCATTTTGTCTATTTAACCAACTCTCTATCTATACTAATAAGCGAGATCTCTGTACTTAACACGAAATTTGATACAACCTGTATAACCAGGCTGCGTCCCTGCAACCCCCTAAATATTTTAAAAATATCTGCTGTTGCTTCGTAGGCGTGCAAACGAAATCTAAGAATAATTTTGCAGCTTCCTTAAACTTGTGAGAGCCGCTTTTAGTGCCCTATGATGAAAATGTCCTATAGCGATTCGATTCATCTCTCCTAACTTTTTATATTCGTTTATAAACGTTACATACTTTGTTTGTAACTTGTAGTTTACCTTCAAAAAAATACATAACGGCATTATAATGATTCGAGAGGTTAGATTTAGGTACTTTTCGATTGGGAAAGATGCAACTCCCTCAAAAGCTCGTTACTATTCTCATAGATTTTGAAGAATAGAAATTAGAAGGAAAACAATCCTTGTGTACTCCTAAAATTTAACCCTTGCTCATCCACTGACGCATGGGAAGATAAGTAATTAATTAACGGCTTGTGAAGTGGCATTAAATTAAAGTAACGCTCGGTAGCACGTTTTTTGGCAATTATTTTACTCACTTTCATGCTAATTAAATTAGAGTGTGAGTGTGTGTGATTCTTTAACACAATTGAAACAGTAGTTTGCGATAGTGCACGATTGAATGAACAGGACGAGTTAGATAAAGCACTTCCAGAGGAAATTTTTTTCTAATTGATAAATACGGATAGTGTGTTTTTGTGATTTCGGTCGTTTTTAATCGTAGTAAACAAATACGAATCCCGAAACGAGAGCGTAATAAAAAACAATTCTCGATTAGATATGTGGAATGCATGTTATATTTGGATGTGTCAAAATTCTTTGTAATTGAACCGCGATTTCAATTCAAGGCGCACGTGGTCGTTACACTTAATAAACCAGGAAGTTATTTTCAATCTCGTTGAGTAATAATTAGAAAAAAACTGCGTTTTTCTTACGAAATTAAATTAATTTCGTTATTGCAACCTTTAGTTAGGTGCGCGAACCGCGTCAGTTGTTGTGTTACTTTCGCAAAAATGTAATTTTGCAAAATGTGGCCGCAAAAAGGGATCTACAGACTGCAGTCGGAAAATAAGGTAATTTGCAAATAATTTTGCGTTCTTATCACGTCTTAAAGTTTAATTACTGTACCCTATGTTTAACTTTATTAGTAATTTAAATTCGGCTCAGTGCATTTTTAAGTGTAACGGTTTTATCCTTTTTCTATGGGATTTGGTTTTGAATGACAAAGCCGTGCTATTTAAATTTAGGCAATAAAACTAAATATTAACATAAACTTTCTTAGCGTTTGAATAAAGAAATCTAAAGTGTGTGAATTTTTTTAATTTGTGGTACCAGTAACATGGGAAAAGGAGGTACAGATAAAAATGTTATTATTCCTAAATGGCGCTAACTTTCTTTTAGTACTTTAATCGATGAATGTTATGTAATGGTAATTGAATGTTTTTATTGAAAATGGTATACCTGTATAAAACTTGGCTTAAGTAAGCAATTTGTTAAAGGTGGGTAAAATACATTGAAAAATCGATATCAAACATGGAAAATGCAACCAGGAAAATCTAAGATGGAGAATGGTTTTTCTATGATTATTTAAAATGCAAAATGGGAAATAGGATTTTTGATTTGTTTATTTGCATAGGAATGATAGGGGGACATAAAATAACCCGATTTAACCGCATTTCTTATTTGTCCTTTAGGAGACAGAGAATCTGCGAAGTTTTTATTGCACAATTAGAAGGTGTATTCGTTCTTTGGATGAAAAGAATGCAATTCTTCAAAATTGGCTGACAGTATATTATTTACATTGTCAATTCATTCTATCAACAACACCTACTACTTAACCTTCTTTAGTTCAAAATGGCAATTAACACTTTCACTTTAACAGTTTTGTCGTTTAATTACTCTAAAGCCAACGCAAATAGCTGGATGATTTTTTTACAAACGTTAATCAATGGTCACAGTAGGAACTTTTTTTACTCTTATGCACCAACATGGAGGATCCGTGGTAGTAGTTATAGAGATACTCATCGTAGTGAATTGAAATTTTGGGTAGTTTCTAAGACATTTATCACAGAAACTAAAATCAGTTTTGAAATTTAAAAAATAAATGCATATTTTTGATCTTCTTGTTCTTGTTCTGATCCTTGCTATTTGAGTTTGTCGGTGGTTTCAGAATTACCCAATTTTTATGTTTGAGGATTTATTTTACTTCAAATCAGGAGCTGTTTGCAAATCAAGATGTAACGGTGACTCAAACTTCGATTTATTTTTTCCAATTTTATACAGATCAGTAAAGTTGAACTTTTTTGGAAATACAAGGGCTAGAGGTGTTTAGGTATTCCATATCATGGATAATTTACAGGGTGTCGACCGACTTTCCAGTAAATTATGTGGCTAGTGAAATTTCAGGTGCAAGTCTGTAATAAGCATTTGGTGGAATTGAAGATTGTCCCTTCTGTGTCTTTTAATTTATGTAGAGCATTGTTTTCATAATCCGTTCCGGATGTCTGGAGACTAGGTATCGTTGTAACTAGGCACGCTTGAGTTACACGCCTCACTGGTAATAATATACGTCACTGTTATTGTTTTTCTGTTTCATATTTAGTTTTTTAACATTTTGAACCATTTGCTATTTTAATCAGACTACTGTCAAAAGACATTGTTCAACCCCCTTATATGCCAAAATCCTGCTGCAAGGTAATGATACGAGTATGACTAGTAAATCCGAAACTAAAAATATTAAGAGACATCTGCAAGTTCAGCATTGGAATAAGCCGTTATTGTTACTATTTAGGTACAAAATACAGTACATTGGTAAAATTGGATTTGAATAAAAAATCAGTTTGTCGTATAAGTTGATTTGTTCCAAGTTCAAGATAGAAAATCACCAACGACATCATGGTTACTTAGAAGGTGTATAGTCCATCAAAAAATCATTCTGTATATTGTATTGTCTTAAGAGTTAAAATTAAGGGCTACCCACAAAAAGTCGTGGCCACCAACTTAACATTTATATTGAAAATTACCAATAAGAAAAATGTTGTGAAGGAAATAAATTGGAACCAGCTTACTTTTTCAATGTCTTCCATCTATACGAAATGTTATGGTGATTTGGCCTTTGCAAGAAAATATTTTCAGAAAATCAAAATTCGGATAAGTCGGAAATCTGGGAAATGGGAAATTTCTTACAAGTATGTAACCCTAAATTTGACTAAGGAGCCAGCCGTAAGTCATCTACAATTCACAAAGGATTGAAGTCATATTTAAAAATTTAAAAAATTTCTAATTTATTTCAAGGAAGAGAAGTTCAACCCCCTTTGTATGCTAAGGCTGTTGCGGCATATTTATTTAATGACTTCTTTGTCATCAATTTTTTCAATATTGGATACATTCGTAATTTCGAGCGTTTATTAAAATGCGTTTTATTTGGAACAAGTATTATGCCTGCTCAAAAACATTCGCAGTTATTTAATTTCACTTTCGTGTCGCCTTTCGTCGCTTAGAAAGTAAAATGTGGTTTGAAACAGTAAAAAAGGCACACTTTTAATTGAATTGAAGAATTTATCTTAAGCAGTAAGTAATCGCTTTACATTTTCATGTAAACGAATTTGAGTTACTAAAAGTTCCATTCGAATTCGATGAGCCTCAAAAGCAGTTGTTTCTGAATTACAACTTCTTTTAAATTTCGCACGAACTCAAAGGGAATCCATAATCTTTCGCTGCAGGTCATTTAGGCATTAATAAATTTGCAAGAAAAATCTGTACAACATAAAACTAAACCCTTTTAAGAGGGATCATCTACTTGCACCGAATAATCCTCTTAGATCTAAGATCTTTCCCAGTTATTTTGAAAATAGAAAATCCGATTTCCCGTACAGGAAACTACGTCAAACTAGGCGATACCTGCATCATTTTGTGCACTAAATAATTTAGATTTAAAGAGGAAGGGTATTAAGACGATGCGTCTTCATGAATAATAAACGTGGACGCGCACGGGTTGCTCTCCGTGAAAAACGGCACAAGAAAACCTCGTTTAGTAAACGACACGAGAACTTAATACATACTTTATTTTTTTCCCGGCGGGAATTCTCCATCTCCAGCAATATGAATACTCCTGGTCCTCGTAATCGTTTCCTCTCCAAAATCTGGGAATAAATTATTTAATTTCGGAAACAGGAGGAATGTTGTTATTTCGTTTGAGACGCGAATTTTCCGTCGAGTTTTTTGGTCGGGTTGCGGAAAGCTTTGGATGAATACGAAACGTGACCGACGGAAGTTGGTCCGAACCCTAAACTTCTACAAATTGCTTTATGAAAGGAAAAGTCCTGGAGTTAGCCAAAGGAGTGATTAGGGTATTTGTGAATTTATTTACGGAACAACAAAAAGAGCGAATTTCAGTTCGCTTCTTTGTATTATTTTGTTCGATCTCGAAAGTCACACACTTTCAAGTTTATCTTTGATCGACGTGAAACGTTTCCTTTGAATTTCCGTTGAGCCTCGGCGGTAACACAAACGTCACGCAAACGCAAGTTTACTGTCAGTTATTCTCCTCTCATTATCAAGTTAAATGGATATCAGTCAAGTTTTGTGCACAACTTTTTTCTAATAGAAAACAAAATTATTAAAGCAACTTGTCCTCAAAGCTCTGCCCGTCTCATCCTTCTTGATCCGTATCGAGAAAAAAGTTTGACATAGTTTTGAAGGGAGTAGGTAAACGGAAACAATGAACGTATGGTTTCACTTCCCGCTGAAAGTCAGAGATCCTCTATATTTAAAAAGCAATTTACTCTCAGTTTTTAAGTTAACGTGAGCGCACCTCCTCCCTGCAGTTTTAGAAAGGCTGGAATTGGGGGAGTAATTAATTTTCGTTGGAATTTAAACAGCAAGAAATCATGCACTTGATACATATTAATATTTCATAAATAATTTAGGCATTGACACCAATTTCGATCAGAAAAACGGTAAAATGCATGGAACACTTTCGTTGAGGGAGTCGCCTTATATTTATAATTATTCAGATCGATCGTGTGGTAATATTTTGAAACCTCATTTTGCGCTTTAATCAATCAGTTTAATATCAGTATTGATTCCTTCCTTTTCGCCATTATCGCCTTATTTCTTTACTTCCAATTTACGCACCCTTTCATTCTTCCTTACTTCGGTCCGGATTGTTTCCTTTTTTCCTCCCAAGTTTTTTTACGTCTGCCTCCTCGATTTACACACCCCTTCACAAATTCTTTACGTTTCGGTCCTTAATAATTCTCCTTACTATCAAATATGTGACCCCTACTTTAATTTAAAGATTAAAGTCTAATCAATATTCTTGAGCTGATTTCATCCCTTAGTGCAATACAATTTCCTCCCCTTAAATGAGACAACAATAAAATGTTATTATTAAATGTCTTTCAATTTTAATTAAATCGCGGACTTTGCTCTACGATTTTGTTTTATATTCCCTTAAAACCAGTTCGTTAGCTTTTTGGGAGAGATTTCACCATCTTATACAGGAGTACGTGGGAATATTATTTCCGTATATTGATCTTTGTACTCTCCTTTTAATCTATAGCCTCTCATACAGCTTTCGGAGTAGTGCAATAAAGTGTTGTTACTAAGTGTGACGGTTATTGAGCTTTCCCTTTAACTTTAAAAATTAAATCGCGGATTAACACGGTTTTTAGCTTCTGGGGAGAATTTTATCCTCTTAAAAGGTGGTACCTGGAAATATTATCTCATCTAAAGATTAAAGTCTAATCATGGCTATTAATTTACTTTTCGGGTGCGATTTCATCCCCTTAAGGAAAAGCAAAGTCCTTCACTAGAAGTGGACGCTTACAGGGGTGGGGGGGGGATAATGTCGACTAATCCAAACATCTAAAGGGATAATGATTACGATCTGATTAAAACAAAGTGATTTATTAGTCGAATAGTGTAACGAGAGAATTTATTTGCTTAAAAATTGTTTTGAGATTTTTTCCCTTTGAATTAAAGTTTAAAAAGAGTCAAGTGTTAAATACCCCTTCAATCTCTTAATCTCTTCCAAAGTTCTTCTATCCTCTTGAAGTCATCTTGATTTTCC